ATGACCTGTCCAAGTTAATGTCAGAAACATTAATTTGACCAAAGGACAAGTTGCCTTCAGTTAGAAAATAATAATAAAAAAAGGATACTTGGACATACAGTAAGCTTGTTGTGCTTTCAGGAAGCAACAGGATTTATTACAGATGTGGTTCAAAATGTTGTACATTAATCAGAAATGTTAACATTCGTCACCAGGCAACACTCATTACTAAAAATCAAACTGCTGCTGGATGTTATTTTCATCATAAAAAATCCTATAGGATCTGATTTTATGTGCTCCCTGAAGTAAAACGGATGTCAGTTTGTTGTATGTTGTCAAAATGTTAGCCTTAATGTCCCACAATATTAATCTGTTAAAATGACTTCATGTAACACGTGAGTGAGTGTAAACATCAGAGGACATCCGCAGCACGACTACCAAATAACGGTCAAGTTGCTGACATCTTTGGAAAGGTCGGTCTTTGACGGGTAAACGACCTTCAGGTTCCCGTCGTGGTCGACCGTTCGGACCTGCTGGACGATCAGTTCGCTGGAGATCTCGCGGCTGGCGGCCGGCTCTTGCGGGCCTTCCCCTTCTCCGTCCGACCCCGCCTCCTCCTGATGCTCTGCTGTGAACTTGTTCAACTCCGCCATTTTCTGTGCGGAAACAGGACATATCGTTAAAATGCCTGCACTATTTGTTATTGCATTTAAGAGATGGATTTAAACTGTATTGCAAAACAAATTGTGAAAAAAAATGCAGAACTATGTGACACTCAATCTACCGTATTAAAAAAATGTGATTGTCTCTGTTTTCTTCAAATATATCTCTTAGATGAAAACTCCTGATGTCTGAGGATTAGGTTCAAAACTAAAGCTCAAAAATGTACTATTCAGTATACTTTCTAAAAAACATCAACAACTTTCAAAACCTGCTTAGAATTAGTGTGGACACACTAACATTTTGTTGAATATCCAGCTGGATTGAACAACAATGACTGGAATAATGTTTGTGTATTTTTTGTACGCCTCCTCATGTCAACATAACAAGTAGTCTGGGACATAAATGTCTCGTAGTGTGAGCAGTGCAGTATTTCTGGGATTCTGAAAAGGTTTATCCTTGGCGTAACTCCGCCTACAGGGCCAGCACCAGCTGTAGTGAGCCAATTTGCTCTTCCACCAGCAGGGCCTGAACACTGTAATATTAGTCCATCTGTTAAAATGTTTGTCCATGAGCTTCAACATCTTCCACATCAAATTAGCAACAAACTACTGAACAAATCCAGATTATCTATATGTGACATCTATCACAAGTGGTGTCTGTATTTGAAATTTTCCCATGAACAGTTATGACAAAAGCCCAGTCTTGGACCCAGATCAATTTAAAGAAAGATAAGGATGTTAGAACACCACAGAAACAATGGCCAAAACTGTGAAAATAAAAGTTGCAAAGTTCCAATAAACTTGACTTATTCTTTAATGATAGAGAAAAGAGAGAAAAAGAGACGCTTACTACAATCAGAGCGTCCATAATATCTTTACAGGTCTGCAGGCTGGATGCACTCGTCACTTCCAAGAACAGCTCTTTGGTTGTCTTCTTGATCTGTAAAGTGCAATCAGCAGATCAGGTAATTATTTCTGTTGTATCATGAAAAGACACTAAATAAGATCAGCTGTGTTAATGGATTCATTTTTTTTTGCTGTTAACAATTGTACAATATGACAGCATTTAATATGTAATCATCTCTTCTGAAAGGACACAATAATGACAACCACAGTAAATTAGACACACACACCTTGGTTATTTCACTGTTGGTAATAGGTGGGAAAGAGATCACCTGCCCCTCTGCATCCACTAGGCAGGGATAGAGTGCTTTACCTTGCAAAATCTGCAGGTATCTGTAAAAAAAATTAAATAGCAGTGAGACTATATGAGAGAGACAACATAATAAAAAGGACTTAGGCAAATGCAATAGATGCACAGCAGGTGACATTCTTTTGCTTTTCTAACTTTTTACAAGCCAGGCATGTCAATTATCAAAATCAACAATTTAAACACTGGTCAATTCTTATTAATGCACACTGATTTCAACTACCTGCAGACAAATATGGGCTTATTAAGATGATGTGTTCAAGATGTTAATAAAACCAATGGCTCATTAAACACTGAGGTTGAAATAAATCAGACTAAAGCTGTGGTCCAACATCCTTATACTGCCCCCATGTGTTCAAACAAATCAATAAGCAAGTTATACAGATGACATGTGCATCTCTTTAATACTTGTGTCTTTTATATAAAGCTCTGTTTTATTTTGAACATCAGTTCATGTGAGATCAACATAAAGATTTTAACCAAAAAGCTTGTGAGTTATTTGTACTGACTTGTGGAGACCAGTGACGTTCTGCCTCTTCTTGTGCTTCCTCAGCTCGTCAGCCTCCAGCTGAAGGTGTCTTATCAGCTCGACGGCCGTCATCTCTTTCCGACCTAGCGGCACAATCTAACAAACATTGTGTTTTTTGGATCTTTTCAGTGACAACTGCAATGGACCACGCAGCAACTGAAGCAAACTTGAACATGACAATATTTATTTTATTTGATTGCTGCAAATGAAAGATTTTTAGCCTTAGCATACCTTCAACTGGGTAGGTGGTTTGACATCATACATCAGGGGAGCTTTGAGAAGTTGCACATCGTGAGATGCAATGGTTGCAGTGGTCCTTTTACCACACAGGTCATCGTGAAGCTTTGTCTAGAAAAACAACAGGTGAATCTTTTTTGGGGACTACACTGGACAATTTGTTATTTTATTAGTCATCCACCACTAAAATGGTCCAATGTATGCCACCTTGTGAGGGGCTTGACCTTACCTGAGCCACCAGGAATCGTTTGAGAGCATTCCCAGGCTTCAGGTTCATGCCTCTGACCACGCAGCACACCAAGTAGGGTCGAACATCTTTCACCGCTTCACTCACTTTGACTGTGAGTGCTGTAGGAGCGTCCGAAACATGGAGAACCCTCACCACCATCTTGTTCAGTTCCTCCAACTCATCCTGTTCGCCTGCCACCTTCTCCTTCTTCTTCCTCTGCTGCTGCCTTTTCCCCTTGTCTGTGTTGCGACCCCCGTCCACGTCGCCTCCATCCTCCCCCTGTCTTCCTTTTCCTTTTCCTCTCAGGTAGTCAAGTATGGACTTGGTCTGGCAGCCGTTGACCATCTTCTCCAGACGTTTGTCGTTCAACTTGTTGCTTTTGAAGTTGATCTCCTTAAGCTTGGGGCAGTCACTCAGATCGGAGGGGATCTCGCTCAGCTTATTGTTAGAGAGATCCAGCACCTGGGAAGACGGGCATGAGGGGGACAAAAGCAAGTGCATAAGTGCATTCACTTTGGGCCTAAGAGCATCAGCTGACCCAAAGTAAGAGTTGTGTAAAGGAAAAAACACAAAAAGACAAGGGTATACTGAACTTAAGCTTGCACAGATCTATACTGATCAGTCTCTGGAGTGAAGGTTAACGTTACTCGCCAAATTCTGTTTAAAAACCTGACATTTTTGTGGTGTATTACACACTGGTAAATGTAAGACCTCGTTAGCTATAATTTAAGATACACATCGCAAACAGTGACAGCTCCTCTGATATTCGGGCTTCATTTAATCCACCCAGAGGCCATTTCCTTAAACAAAATCGCCTCGTAAAGAGGACATCTATCAATATTCAGTAACGTTATAAAGGAGCTGCTTGGTGTATGGAGTGTAACGTGACCGTGTGACGAATTCAAAACAGTGTACCAGCAATTCAAACAACATTTAAAACCATGTTGTCCGGCCCACCTTTAGAGCTGCTAGCTTGTGAATATCTCCACTCAGCTGTTCAATGGCGTTGTCGGAAGCGACCAGTGTGCTGAGGAGATCCAGTCGCTCGGAGTAGAAATCAGCGGGGAAAGCGGTGATGCGATTCTTGGAGATGTTGATGGTGGAGAGCTTGGTGCACTGACTCAGTCCCTCTGGTAGGACCTCCAGGCTGTTACAGCTCACATTGAGAGTGTTTAGCTCCTTTAACTGAGTGATTCCCTCTGGTAAAACCCTTAGGTTGTTGACTGAAAGGTCCAGGACCTTCAGGGACTTGAGGTTACCGACGACATTCGGGATGGATGTCAGCTTGTTTCTGCACAGGATGAGGCTCTGAAGGTTTGTCAGATGTTGGATGTCCTCGTGGATCTCTGTCAAACTCGGGCACTGGCTAACTTCCAGATAATTCAGCAGGGTGAGGGAATAGATAGCTGAGGCGAGTCCCCTGTTAGAGGAAATTCTCCCGTCGATAGTTGGACCCTGTAAAACCAGTTCACGTCTCTTCCCTGACGCTGCTTTCTCTATTTCTGGCCATTTCTCCATGTCATCCATGCTGTCGGTTAGACACCACTTTCCAAGATAACCAAGACAATAAAATACATGAAACATCCGTTTAATTATTTCAAAATAAATCACTATATTCTTGACATATAGGTTTACGGGTGATACATGTACACACGTCTCCACAAATTATAATCCAAACGTAACAACCATTTGGAATGATGACAACTACTTTGAAGCCGTCAATTATTACAGCATTTTGATTTCTTATTATAATGCTTGTACATCTCTTCTTAATTTGTGGCATATTTTTTGTGGAATATTTATGTCATGAGTCTTAGATTAGGTGTGCTTGCCCCCTGAAGATTTACTGCAATATTGTGAGAGATCAGTCTGAAGTTGCCGCTACATGCGGTACCTTTATTTTGGAGACAACATGTTTGGCTTCCTGAAGTAACTGGCTACTGCTTCGTCCATAGACGCCACCCGAGGGCCAAGAAGTTGTTAAAACTCATTAGAAAATGTATTACATTGTTTATCGGTGTGATCATTGTGTCAATATGCAGGCAAAAACATAATACAAGTAGAGGTGGGTCCATGGATGTGGGTGAGAGTCGGTAAACGTTTAACAAATAAATGTTGATAGGTCGTATAATGCGTACGACATTCACGACAATCCATTGCGACTGACGACAGGCTCTCCATAGCGCATGTGCGCGCTGGTTGTTGTCAACGGTGGTTATGGAGATGGGATGGGAGCGCAAGCTGTCAACATTACGGTGATGTTCGTGGTAAGATATCTTTGAAATACACGCAAAAAACCTTTAATTTACTCTAAAAATATATAGCAACAAAATGTAGGATTAACGAATGACAGGTGTCTGGACATTTATTGGATTTTGGCCTCCCCTAAAACCTTTTAAAATACAGCTGACGTTACAGTAAAACTAGCTATGTTGGCTGATGGAGTTAACTTAGCTAATACCTCCCACCCACCATGTTGAAGTCAGCAAGAAGGACTTTTCTGTCCTACCCAAGCGCGTGTGTATGCCATATCCAGAATAGTTTATTTCCTCCCAAGGAGAATTGTACACCAAACTGGACGTTTAATATTTTTTGTTTTATGTGACACAAGTAGTAAATCCTTCAACAAACGCTTCTTGCATTCTGCGCACTTGCAGCTACTGACATACATTAAGTACACATAAATTATGAATAAAGTATGATTTGACATTGCTACCTAATCAGATGTTGTTTAATAGCCTTCATATTACTCTTTTATTGTTAAATTAATGCACTGAAATAAATATATTCTTTCTTAAAATAAGTCATTGCTGTCTAATTGCTGTTTGTATGTTTAGCAACATTTGGTCAGCACAAGTGTAGTGATAAATACTTCTGGCTGTATTAGTAAATATTTAATATTACCTGTTGTTGTAAGTGGTTCAGATGTACAAAGTGCTGTGACAGGCCTCTAAAATGAATCATCTTTACATTCATGATTTTCACTTATTTTTTTTTTATTTCAGATATTAAATATATCTATATCTATGTATAAATCAATTAGTTTGTGTTCTATCAGTGTCCATTAGAGGGATGCCCAGGAAGATAGGATTCATTGTGGTCAACTCTTCAAGTCATGAGGATAACTTCAGTGCAAAGGAGCTCATGGTCCATGCACCCACAGTCAATGGCTGGAGATCCAGCAGGTACAGTAATACAGTGCTTTACTTACAAAAGCATGTCACATACATTCATGGCAACTTTGTTCATTGTCATTCTATGCTCCTAAAAAAAATATAATAATAATTATGTGAATGAAATATTCCGCAGGCTGTGCTCCTACCCTCAGTACGTCACCCTCCAGCTGGTGGAGAGAAGTAGGGTGAGGAAGCTGCAGCTGCTGGCTCATCAGTACCTGATCCCAGCCAAGGTGGAATTTCACATTGGAGACACCCTCCCTGAAACCACCACCTCTGGGTTCCCTGGGCAGCTTCGCCGACTCGGGTGAGACTGCAGACTTAGCAAGGCCTTTTTGTGTTTTTTTACTAGAACTGCATATTAGGTTAATACAAGTTGGTGTGGGAGATTGGGATGTTGCAGCCTACACAACCATAAACATAGGTCAAGTGTTCACCTGGTGATGATGCTCCCTGGACACACGGCTTTGATCCTTAGATCTGGTTCTGATTTCGTATCTTACTGATTATACCTGGAAGGAGGTACACAGTGGCTAGTTATGCAGTACAGTCATGTTGTATCTATTTGATTGAAAGGCAATTTGATTGACAGTCATCAACTGGGTTCAGTAATATCTTGGCTGTTTCTAGTCTTATCTGTTTCTAAATGTGTATCATTATAGAATTAAAATGTAGATATGCACTTTAGTATATCTCAGCAGAGGAGTTGAACTGACAGCCATCACGGTACTCTCACCACAGGTATGTGTCTTTGTCGGACAATGAGAAGACAGGCTTCAAAGCTCGGGAGTTGAAGTCGGTCCATGTGGATGCCATCGGAACGTACCTGAGAATAACCTTCCATAGGAACCATGCCAACCGTTACAATCCCCACAGTCAGGTACAATAACCACCGACACACTATTATTTCCCTAAACAGTGTCTTTCATCAGTGTTTTAGATCTATAAAGTCCATGGCTGTTTTTCAGAAATTTCCGCCAGTGTTTGAAACACATAGCGGTCATTTTGTCTTGAAGCAGTATGTCAAGCAACACATCAGCTGGGTATCCAACACAGGCTAGAGCACCCATCTTAGATAATATTTTAGTCTCATTATTGATGTGTTGTGGGGATATGAGAAAATGTTAAAGACTTCTGTAAATGTGGTTGATAGATACTGCATGTCTAAATTATGTTGAATGACTGTTATTAGACACTCCTGAGAAGTTCAACTTCCTGAGCTTCATTTGCATTTTCAATAGTGTTGAAATGGGATGTATTGATTTAGTAGACTGACACAAAATTAACAGATTTTTTTTTCCAGATTTGAAGCTTTTATTTTATTTTAAAATGAGAAACCCTGTTAGTAGATTATAATGATTTTACTCAAAGGATATGGCTGGAGTTATTATATATTCTTTTTACTGTGAACAATTACCATGAAAAGACCAAAACTAACAATGTGTTAGTCCATCTCTCAGTACTTCCCTCCCCTGTCTGTGGCACACTGTTCCTTTGTTCCCGCTGAAGATTTCAATCTTTAAAAACAGATCACAAATATATAGTTACATTTTTTATCAGGCTAAATTATTGAAACAGATTTTAACAAACATTACTCAAACAGGAATAAATAGTGCATTTGTTGGGGACTAGTTTCAACAGCGGATGTATACACATTTGGTGCTTTAATAAGTATTTAAAGCAACTTGGTTATGTGGGATCGACTCAAATTAAATTACAGTGTATGTGTTCATTGTAATAAAGGAACTTGTCAACCCAATACAATAGTGTGTCTCAAATTTGTTTTTTTAATAGTTCGGTGGAGCTCTGTGGAATAACACAGACACTACTTGTTAGTAGGATCAAATCATTGTTGGGTTTGTTTTTTTCATGTGATTTATTGATAATACTCAAACAAATTATAGAACATCACCAGCCTTATCCTTTAAATTGCAGTAAAATAGTTCCACTATTAGGCTAACTCCCCGACAATCACCCATTTATCGCATGCATTGATTGTCTCTCGCAGTTCTGTTTCGTTCAACAACATCACAAACATATTTTTATGATTTCAGGTTGCTTTGGTTGCCATTAATGTTCTGGGAGATTCTTTGGATGGCAATGCTTTTAACACAATTGTAAGTGCACACTATCTTCACCCATCACTGAACTTACATCTGCACAGCAGTAGGTGGGGCTGTTGTGTTTTGGTTTTGAGAGACATTGCTCTGTCATCAGTCACTTAGAATAGGGTTGATTGATGTTTCCTCATCCATCCACTGACATTGCAGCCACCACGACAGTTTGAACTTTTGGCATGTTAAAATGGGAAACTGATCTCTTGAACAAAAAAACATATCGTATATCATCCATTTTTTCTTCATGAAACAAAAAAAATGGATTCCCTGTTATGATGGTAGCTGATCTGTGCAGAGTTGTACACTTATTGATGTTTGGTGGGGATTGTCAAATAATATGAATACCAACACAATATAATGCAATTTCAGTACAACGGCCCTGAATAATGCGAAGCTTAAGATTTGTTACTTAGAATATGTCAGAGAGTTGTTGATTCAGTTTACACGCACGTGTTTACCTGGAGTGTGTGTGTGTGTGTGTGTGTGTGTGTGTGTATATGTGTCAGGAATGTAGTAATGAGACACAAAGGGAGGACAGTATGTAATCACACAGGAGGCCTTTAGTTAGCCAGTGTAATCAGATAGTGCTGCAGACAGACAGGTGCTGGAGGAGAGAGAGCACCTTAAAACACACACACAGACACAGAGACATGGAAAGACACAGACACACACTCGCACAGATTCCAGTGAACAGGCTGTGCATTGTTGCTCCACTAATCCGACTCTGAGCACCTCCACCACAGCGGTGATCTTGCCTGGCGGGTCGGCGAGATCTTGTTCTCTTATATCTGTTATGGGGGGAAATTGTGTTTGTACTATGGAGGGACACTGCGGTGTGGATACAGGAAGAAAGCTTATTTAGTATGTGCAGTCTCAGTTCATCTAAATTGGCCCTTCACTAAGCAACACCCCCCTTAGTCACTTTAAGTCCGACAAACTGTCGAACCTGTCAGACTTTTATCACGGCACCGCCACTGTCTATAACTGCACTTCCCGGAGAAATATTGTCTAATTTTTGGAAAAAGCGATCTCAGAAAGAAGCAGACAGTTTTGCAGTTGCATTCTGCATTTGAAGGTTTAATTCAGGCTGTCAAACTGAGGTGAAAAAAACAAAGACAGAAGCTTCAGCCTACTGATCACAGTGTAAAAGTGAACCACCGTATTACCTGTCAATTGAGAAAGAGGACAACTAAATTAAGGATCAACACTGTTTGTGTACAGCTGGGTAGGTCTTTGTTCACTGTTACAATCATTTAAAAGCAAAACTGCAGGACTTTATAAAGTTACATTAAATAGTAAGTTAGCTAGTGTTAGTTAACAAACATTACATTAGGAACAATGCACAGCCTACATTTTTTCTGGATTTGTTTTAGATTTTGGAAAGGGAATAAATCATACTTCTCCTTTCAACCTCTCTGGGTAGCTGTAACTATTAAAAGTGCCCCAGGAACAGCGTTTGACCATATTTTGGAAAAATACAGCAAAGTCGAGTCAATGGACCGCAGGCATGAAAGTGTCTGATCTCAGTTAGAGCGAGTCCTGTACTGCGCTGTTGTTGGCCAGCTGCATATTCGGGGCGTGGCTTAGCGAAGGGTCTATTATGAAGGAAAAAAACACATTCTGTCATTCTGTAGGGGTATCTAGCCTTGCAAAAAGTTTTGGTTTTATCTGACCAGGTTTTGAGATCTGTCTTTCATTCAGTGGAACTGGTGCATGAATGGAATTTTTTTTTTATGGCGCTCGCAGCACTGAAAAAGTGCGATGGTTGGTGGTAAACAGATGCTTTTTAGTTGTCACAAAGATGCGGAAACTGCCTTTATGGCCTTAACTCTCCATCCCAAATTGAATCTGCTCTGTGGAGGTCAACCCTTAATTCTGTCTTTTAGTATTTATATTCTGGTGTTCTCCGACTAGTAATTCCAGTATTTCATACATTTTGACATTAAAATGACTAAAAACATAAATGTGTGCTAGTGAGCCAGCATGCACAGTACTAGGACCCTGAAGTTAAAGCTTCAGCCATCATTCATTGTATTATTTACACTGTTGCCTTTCCGTTTCTTGTTCACAGACTGAGCTTTACCGGGATTCAAAGTGGACTCTTTTTTTAGAGATGGGTTTTTCTGTGAACTTTGAGATGCGCTGTTACTCTGGGTAATATATAGAACACATTGTCCAGTTGGGGGCTATTTCTTCAATGTAAAGTAGTTCCAGGAAAATGTTCACTGCCAGTTTGTCCAGAGCAAAAGGTTACATCTACATTAATGTAAAACACATGTTTGTGTTGAATCTTTAAATGCTTTGCACATTGCAAACCATTCACTTCATTCCATTCACTTCTATTCTTCTTCTTTTTCTATTCTATCTGAGAACACCTGGATGAATTAAAACTAAAGTATCTGCGTTTCTAACAACCATTAGTGAGAAAGGTTTGGGGTTATTCTTGTAATTAGGGTGAACTGACCCTTTAAGATGTGCAGGTCATTATCACGTCATACAAATATGCTAATGCAAAAACATCAGCTCTTATCTGTGTCAATGACTAACGAAGATAATGTAACATTAACAATGCAAGACGGGTTAGTAACATTAATTAACCAATACCCAAGGCTACATTAACCATGGGACTTTCAATCCCAGTTTATTTCCTCTTAGTAATGTTCCACTATAATATATATGATTCCACCAATATATAACAGCAATATATGAAAACATATTTGTCTGCTTTCTCTCCTCTTGGAATACGGTGAGGAAAATAAGTATCTGAACACCCTGCTATTTTGCAAGTTCTCCCACTTAGAAATCATGGAGGGGTCTGAAATTGTCATCGTAGGTGCATGTCCACTGTGAGAGACATAATCAAAAAAATAAAAAAAAATCCAGAAATCACAATGTATGATTTTTTAACTATTTATTTGTATGATACAGCTGCAAATAAGTATTTGAACACCTGAGAAAATCAATGTTAATATTTGGTACAGTAGCCTTTGTTTGCAATTACAGAGGTCAAACGTGTCCTGTAGTTTTTCCACCAGGTTTGCACACACTGCAGGAGGGATTTTGGCCCACTCCTCCACACAGATCTTCTCTAGATCAGTCAGGTTTCTGGGCTGTCGCTGAGAAACACGGAGTTTGAGCTCCCTCCAAAGATTCTCTATTGGGTTTAGGTCTGGAAACTGGCTAGGCCACGCCAGAACCTTGCTATGCTTCTTACAGAACCACTCCTTGGTTATCCTGGCTGTGTGCTTCGGGTCATTGTCATGTTGGAAGACCCGGCCTCGACCCATCTTCAATGCTCTAACTGAGGGAAGGAGGTTGTTCCCCAAAATCTCCCAATACATGGCCCCGGTCATCCTCTCCTTAATACAGTGCAGTCGCCCTGTCCCATGTGCAGAAAAACACCCCCAAAGCATGATGCTACCACCCCCATGCTTCACAGTAGGGATGGTGTTCATCATTCTTCTTCCTCCAAACACGGTTAGTGGAATTATGACCAAAAAGTTCCCACGAGGTGAGATCTTGCATGGAGCCCCAGTCCGAGGCAGATTGACAGTCATGTTTAGCTCCAACAGTGGACCTTTTTTCACCAAGCTGCTTGGCAATTTCCCCGTAGCCCTTTCCAGCCCAGTGGAGGTGTACAATTTTGTCTCTAGTGTCTTTGGACAGCTCTTTGGTCTCGGCCATGTTAGTAGTTGGATTCTTACTGATTGTACGGGGTGGACAGGTGTCTTTATGCAGCTAACGACCTCAAACAGGTGCATCTAATTTAGGATAATAACTGGAGTGGAGGTGGACATTTTGAAGGCAGACTATCAGGTCTTTGAGAGTCAGAATTCTAGCTGATAGACAGGTGCTCAAATACTTATTTGCAGCTGTATCATACAAATAAATAGTTAAAAAATCATACATTGTGATTTCTGGATATTTTTTTTTTTATTATGTCTCTCACAGTGGACATGCACCTACGATGACAATTTCAGACCCCTCCATGATTTCTAAGTGGGAGAACTTGCAAAATAGCAGAGTGTTCATATACTTACTTTCCTCACTGTATATTATAGCTTCTCGTTTCACATGCTGTATGAGTCATGATATGAAGTGCACAGTATTTTTCTTGTTCCTATTTATTACTGGCCAAGAGGAAGTGTTGCTCTGCTCTACTAGGAGTTTTCTTCTCCATCATATTAAATGCTGGTTTGGTGCTCATGAAGTAATGAATGAATGGTGTTCTCAGTCAGACACTGTTTCCTGTTCTTATAATGATTGACCACTTAACATTTCAGGTGATAGCAGTGTATGCAGTGGATTACAGTTACAAGTGGAGGTGCATATCAATGTTTGGATTTGGGCTTGTGTGTGTGTGTGTGTGAGAGAGAGAGAGAGAACTTGTATTGCTGCCATTTTAAGGTCCAAGATGTTTTTGGTAAAGTCATTGTGACTGATTCTCACTTTCGAAAAGTGCAGTGTTTTGTTTAAGTTATGGTAAAGGTTGCACATGAGGATAACCTTAAAGCTAATGGGATTAGGTCAGGTGTTCCTGAGCACAGTGATACAAGAGTATATATGCATGTGTGTGTAATTTGTCCATCTGTTTACCCCCAGCCAAGCAGAGAGCAGCTGATCGAACACTACCTCAACAGTACCCAGCTGGAAGCCGCCTTGGACACGACCTTCATGGGGTGAGCCTAGGCCATTGAACCCTGGTTTCTTTGTCTTGTGACAATAACATTGTTCAACAAAGCCATTTAGTCTGGAAGAAAAGCAATAAGGCATTCAAGGTCACTCACATGTGAAGACAATGCAGGTGGCGTGCAAAGAGGAAAACACATTTCGAAATTGTTTTAAAAAATTTTTTTTTTATATCAACCCCCAAGGGACTGTCACCTCAGCGCCTCACTCTTTGGGGGGGGCGGTCATTGTTTTTCCCCTTTGATCAGGAATTTCACAATAGCCCATTTTACTGACGATGATGCGTGTATTCTGCACTGGCATTGTCTCAAATTAATTTAGACACTAAATCAGCTGTTCTGTTTTCTGTATTCAACATGTTTCACAGATGGAACAAACTCAGACCTGACAGAGTGGTTGTGTAGAAATAAATGTTTAAATGTTTCAGTTTATTATATGTATCAAATGTTTGCTGTCTTTGTGTCCCAGCAAATGCGAGTTCATCTCCCCCTTGGACGATCTGGCCTTCGACATGTACCAGGACCCTGAAGTTGCCCACATAATCCGTCTCCTGGACCAGAAGAAGCAGGACATGGTCCGGCAGGAGAAATACGAGCAGGCCAAGAATCTGAAGCAGGCCATCGCAGACCTGCAAAAGGTACTGGAGGCAGACTGGTTGGCTACAATACATGCAAACTGACATCAAATATTTACTCACATTCTCACTGCAGTGAGAGCATTTTAGAGTCTTAGGGCCCTATCTTGCACTCGGCGCCAAGCGCAGCGCTGTGTCATTGCTAGTTTCTAACCGAAGCAGTAGTCATTTTCAAGCCCAACACCCACGTTTTTCAAATAGCAAATCCACTTGCGCCCATAGGACTGTTAATCCTAAAATGAGGCGTGGTCAGGCAAATTGTTGGCACATTGCTATCTTGAGGCAACAGAAAGCGATTGCGATGAAAAGATCCCTGGTCTAAAGTCAGTGGTGCAGCATTTGACTGTTTTTTCTTATTTTACGGTCGCATTATTCTGATAGATGAAGATGAAGATGCTCTTAAGAGAGCACTGTGTGCATTTACGCACGAGGCACAGCAGCATAACTTCACTGATTATTAAAATCTCCCGACATGCTGACAGGATTGGTGAGGATGTAATGTAAGTTCTGTGTTCTTCTACACATCCAAAAGGTCTTGTCAAGTTTCTAACTACAGTTTTTTTGTTTTGGGACAAAGGGACAAGCTGCCGCTATGTTGATCCAGTATTTAACAATGACACTTGCATTTTATTAATGTGGTTTGGAGTTTCTGTGCAAACAACTAGTACATGAACACACAGGCACACATACACACAAGTGCACACATGCTAAATATCCCTGGTTACTAGAAGTATTTCTTCCAGCAAAAGGCAGCCAGGTTTTGTCAAGAATTGAAAATACCAGGATCCCTATTACCAGTATTCAACCTTATTCTGGACCATTGGTTGTACATACAAAACATGTGATCATTTCTTTAAATATTATGTTTTTTATGGATTAAACTACCCAACAGTATGTGACATAGTTCCCTCAGCTCCACCTCAACCAGCTACATTAAAATACTTCTTAAACATCAATGAATAATCATCATCCAAAATGTTACAACACTGAAGGGGGCCATTCCGCATATGAGCACTTTTGCTTTTGGTACATGAAGTACATTTTGCTGATGATACTACTAACTTTTAATTCTAGTAGAATATTTTTACTAATGTAAAGGATCTGAAAACTTCTTTCCCTGCTGTTCTGCTCTCCTTTTAGTCATTGGCTTTTAACAGCTCTTTTTACTTTGAATTTCTTTCCAGTTTCACTATTCCAACAGCACACTTGAGAATGACATATTGGCTGTTATCATTGTCTGTCAGTGGCTAATGTCCTGCATGGAGGAAAATAACCACCTCACATGTATATGCAGTTTTTACATAGTTTTTATAACAATAAGTAATGCTTTTAAGGCAAATGTAGTTTGCTAAGAAGCAACATATTTATACCCCACATATGATTAGCGCTAGGTTGGAGTCCATAAGCAGGCCACGTACAGTAAAAAACAGCCATGAAAATATGATTATTAATGATACATTTTTCTCAAATCTCAAGTTTGTGAGGCGTGGATCATTTTTAAAGAAATCCACTGTATGTTCACCACTGTTTGTAACAGTGGTTGTTAAACATTGCTCAGATTCCTGCTGGTGACCTCTTTTGTGTACAGTGTTACCATGCTGACCATGAATTCTTAATAAGCTCAACAGCTGCGGTGATGGTCCTCGGGTAGTGTCTCTAGCACTCCAAGCTAGAAGCCTTTCTGTAATCAGATAACACAGACACTTGCACCTTATTAGCATGGCATATTAGCATCACGGACAAAACAGTTGCCAACGTAGTCATGCTGAAAATCCCTTGTCATTTCACCCTCAGGATGTCAGAGGATGGTTGTTGGCATAAAGTGATATCTGAAAACACAGGAAGACGAAAGGACAGAAGGCAGAGAATTGGCTTGCTTTACTGTACTGTACTACTTTCATTAGCCCTCTTAACTTAAGAGTTTGTCCAAAAGAAAGTAAAGAATCACAAAGCGTTGATGTTCAGGCTGTGTCGCTTGGCACCTGGTTAGCAACTTAATGGAATTTCCTCTCTAAGACATTACATGTGTGTCTTACTGGAAGTGTTGTCAAATTTCCAGCCAGTAAATCTCAATGATTCACCGTGTGGCACACTTTCTGTTTCTGTGGCACCAATTCAATTCAATTCAATTTTATTTATATAGCGCCAAATCACAAAAGAGCAGGTCTAGACCGTACTCTATGATGTTATTTACAGAAGCCCAACAGTTCCCACCAAGAGCAAGCACTAGGCGACAGAGGCAAGGAAAAACTTCCTTTTAAGAGGCAGAAACCTCGAGCAGAACCATGGCTCAGGGTGGGCGGCCATCTGCCTCGACCGGTTGGGGTGAAGGAGAAAAGAGAGAGAGAGAGAGAGAGAGAGAGAGAGAGAGAGAGAGAGAGAGAGAGAGAGAGGCAGCCTACACAATATACACACAGAGGTACAGACAGTGAAGGTAATGTTGCTATAGACTGAATGAAAAATGGTACAGATATTTATAATAGTGTTAATGGTAACCATGTTAATGATTATAATAACAATAATAACAATAAGACTAGCAACAATAGTCGTTGCAGTAGAGGGTGTCGAGCAGGAACACAGGGGCAGCAGGTGACCCGCAACCACAGATCCAGACTCCACAGCTCCAGAGCCAGAAAACCTGCAGGAAGTGATAGGAGAGGGGAGAGAGACGAGAAAGCACAAGACTACCAGAAAGGGGAGAAGTTGTGTTTGTAACATGCAATAATGGGATAAGGTTGCATACAGAGGGAGAGAAAGTAGAGGAGAGAGGAGCTCAGTGCATCATGGGAAATCCCCCGGCAGTCTAGGCCTATAGCAGCATAACTAAGGGATGATTCAGGACTACCTGAGCCAGCCCTAACTATAAGCTTTATCAAAGAGGAAAGTCTTAAGCCTACTCTTAAATGTGGAGATGGTGTCTGCCTCCTGAACCCAAACTGGAACCTGGTTCCACAGGAGAGGAGCTTGATAGCTGAACGCTCTGGCTCCTAGTCTACTTTTGGAGACTCTAGGAACCACAAGTAACCCTGCATTCTGGGAGCGCAGTGCTCTGGTGGGGTAGTAAGGTACTATGAGCTCTTTAAGATAAGATGGTGCCTGACCATTAAGAGCTTTGTAGGTAAGAAGAATGATTTTAAATTCTATTCTGGATTTTACTGGAAGCCAATGCAAAGAAGCTAAGACAGGAGAAATGTGATCTCTTTTCCTGGTTCCTGTCAGAACACGTGCTGCAGCATTCTGGATCAGCTGAAGAGTCTTAATGGACTTTTTCGAGCAGCCTGATAATAAGGAATTGCAGTAATCCAGCCTAGAAGTAACAAATGCATGGACTAGTTTTTCTGCATCATTTTTAGACAGGATGTTCCTGATTTTCGTAGGTGAAAAAAGGCGGTCCTTGAAATTTGCATAATGTGAGACTTAAACGACATGTCCTGATCAAAGATAACTCCAAGATTCCTCACAGTGGTGCTGGAGGCCAAGGCATTGCCATCCAGGGAAACTATATCTTTAGATAATGCGTCACGGAGGTGCTTAGGCCCCAGAGCAATAACTTCAGTTTTATCTGAGTTTAACATGAGAAAATTACAGGTCATCCAGGTTTTAACATCCTGAAGGCACATTTGAAGTTTAGCTAACTGATGAGTTTCATCTGGCTTGATCGATAGATATAACTGAGTATCATCTGCATAACAATGAAAGCTTATGGAATGTTTCCTGATAATATTGCCTAAAGGAAGCATATATAAAGTGAAGAGGATTGGTCCAAGGACAGATCCTTGAGGAACTCCATGAGTAACTTTGGCGTGCATGGAGGACTCATCGTTAACATGTACAAACTGAAATCGATCTGATAAATAGGACTTAAACCAGCTTAGAGCGGTTCCTTTAATGCCAATGAAATATTCCAGTCTCTGCAATAGGATCTGATGGTCAATGGTATCAAATGCAGCACTAAGATCTAATAAAACCAGTACAGAGACAAGTCCTTTGTCTGATGCAATAAGGAGGTCATTAGTAATTTTCACCAGTGCTGTCTCTGTGCTATGATGAGCTCTAAATCCTGACTGAAAATCCTCAAATAAACCAGGGCCGTACTATTGTGCATGGCAGAACTGCTCGTGACAGTCAATCCCTAAATCCCTAAACCAGCCAGCTCCTTAACAACGGAATCGTTGAGATCTGGAAACACAGTGACATCAGCGCAATGAGGTCTATGGTGGCAAATAACACTAGCAATCAGACACTCAGGTTGTAAACAACAATGGCTTAACTTTATGTGGAGGAAAAAATAAAAGTGAGCTCACCTGAAACATTGGTAACAATCTCTCATTGCAGATGAATACTGTGCACAACTACAGAAAGTAGCAGTAAGTCAAAGTTGAAACTAGGAAGTCGGCTTATAAACTGTGATGGTCAGTATAGGCACAAACATGATACCATGATACAATACAAAAGTCGTTTAGTCGTCTAAACATGCAGTGGGTCACTGTGTCACTGCAGGTGTGTTTTTACTTTTCCTTGTGCTGGGCTCTTCTAGGTAGGGGAGCGTTTGGCTCGATATGATGTGGAGAAGCGATGTGCCATCGAAAAGGAAGACTATGATCTTGCCAAGAAGAAAAAGGAGCTGATGGAGGAGTACAGGAGGAGCGTCTACCAGCAGCTGGAGGTCCACAACCTGCTGGACATGGCAATGGTCAGTCACGAACCACTGATTTACCAGTGTGGTAACAGCAGGGGGACTGTTGGTGTAATGGACAAGTTACATTTTTCTCCAAGGTGTTGGTGTTAGACAAGATGACAAATTATGGGACATGGGGGGGGGGGGTGACTTATTCGGCCTAAAGCAAATTCTGGTCTTCCTTTCCACCATGTCACCAGATCACGAGGGCAGCAGATTCATCCCCAGCCCAGGAGTCTCCCTGTCTTCAGCCCTCAGGTCACTGCTCAGTCCCCACCAAGCCCCTTGTGTCCACAGAAACATTCAGGAAGGGGAAAACAACTAACGCTGCTCAGAACCAACAGTCAGACACAGGAACGGTTGCGTCCAAAGTGAGCAGCCAACCTGACATGCCGTGCGCCCCTGCTGCTGTACCCAAGATTGACGTAAGTACCGCTTTCTTAAATGTGTTCACAATCCAATACATCACAACATATTTACCCAGTATGAAACATGTCCTGCACCTACAGACACTTAAAAACAGGAGAACTTGTCCAATAGTCATTGGAAGACTTTATGGACAGTCAATGATGACAAACCCTGTGTTTTCTGATTAATGATCCATTTGTAGACCGCTGGACCTGTAGCTTTTTCTGCTTTCCAGGAATTCCTGTATTCTTATAAAAATAGCCTAGCTCTCTGCAGCACCTTGGGAACATGTCTCCTGCCTTAAGCCTCTGTAGTGTTGGAACATGGAGCACATAGGGAGATTATGACCAGCGGGAGCTTTTATGCTTTACTCACCACCTACTGAGACCAGCCCAACTGCAGGTTTGGGTTTCAGTATTTAATTAAAAGTGTGCAACAGTTGGCTGACTCCAGCGGCTGCCAACCTGGCCTCAAGGCAGGGCTTTGAGCCTTGTATGAGGCAGCAGGGTGCTTGTTGGGCTTGGGGGTTCTATAGAGGGGGTTAAACATTCATGATGTTGAACGATCAACCTATTCGGTAATCAAGTGCTAGTGATAGTGAAAAGAACAAGGGCAGATACATTTTTCAAAGGGATGGAGTTCCTTTTCAGCCTTGAAAGTCTAGTTTAGTTAGTTCTTTGAGCCTTTGAGCTGAAAGATATTTAGGCAATGTACACTAATGAAACTCTCCCAAATTACCATGAATGTCACTGGAAAATAGTCAATATAAAGAAGTAGTCCTTGTTATTGCAGGGTTTGTGAGCAAGTTGTAATTTACTAAAACATCTTAAATTGTCAGACTTTGGCTATCAACCTTTGTTGTTCATTCCCTGTGAGTTCTTCCTGTTGTAAATCGAGAAAACCTTGAGTCCCGTAAAGGTCATGAGCAGGGTTTCCAGGGGAAAGATTATCAGTTCTCTGACCACAACTTGATTATAACTAAGGCCAACTTTCAGATGAGTGTAATTGTTTTTTATCAGTAATGATACCAAAATGTTTATCAGATTCGGCATTGATCATGCTACAGTAAATATAATGTTCCAAGCTTTAAATGCCAATGTTGTTGTCTTGTGTTGACAGGTTTCTAGTGTGCCTTATGACGAGAGACCACTGCCCACACTTCAAGGAAAGACCGACCTGTGGAGAGCCCTGCAGAGCATCACTCTCCCCAACTCGATACCCAGAAAACACCACACAGCCCTGAGATGAGTGGAGAGCCAGAGCCCCTGACAGAGAAAGCCCAGAGAGAGGCTGGCCTGCCAATAGAGGTCTATGGAGAAAGCCTGGTAAGAAAGAAAGGCAGAAAAACATGACTAGCAAAGCTAACTCAGGGTTTTACTTTCTCCCAGGTTTTTATTTCTATGTACTCCAAAAAATACTTTTTGGTATCCCTTCATGATATTCTGTACTAGCCAGGTGTTATCTCCTTTTTCGGCTGTGCCAAGTATATTTGTATCGGCAATAATGTCAGCAGATAAGTAACAAGATACCGCAATACAGAAATGCTAAAGATATGTTTGAGGTGACTTAGAAAATGTGGTGTGAAATATGATCTATTTATAGTACATTACGCAGCATATATGCAAATATATCTGCTAAAATACCCCAATAACTGATATTTGTGATGTCTTCGCTGCCCTGTGGCAAATTTTTTGCCCTGTCTTCTTTCCCAGGTGGCCGGGGCATATTCCAAAACCTGGTCTTACAGAGAGGATGCTCTGCTGGCTGTGTACAAGAAGCTCTTGGAGCTACCACCCGCCATCCCCAGGGAGGAGTTGAGAAACCTGATAAGAGCTGCAGTCTTCCTGGTCAAGAAAGCCCTCCTGGATAAAGTGTCCTCTGTGAGTCAAATACTCAACAAACAAAAAAGTTATGTTGGTGAGGATGCTTTGAATGTGATGAAGTTGAAGTTGATCAAACAACTGCTTCCAGTAAAGCAGTATAAAGGCGGTATGGATATTTTTACTTTGTCACTGTCAAAGTCTTCTATAAATCACGTTCTCTGGATTCATTTTACAAACAGAACTAAGGTTCATGTTGTGAAATCATAAGCACACATTCACGCATGCATAATCTTAACAATATTACCCCTGTACCATATGCAACCCCATTACTCTCTCACAGAGCAGGCTTACTTAAACAAACAGTTTTGACAAGGATGGCCTTGTAACCCCTCTCTGGAAGTCGTCTACAGCTTGTATGGTAATGAAAAGGGTAGTGCTCCAGAGACACTTCTCTGGAAACTCAGTGGTCTGAGCTGCATGTCGTGTCATTACATCCTGAATCTGAATGAAGCCCAGGGTTTTAGTCATGTTTTTCCAGGTTAAACACAAAATTCCAAAAATGTTTAGAAAGCACTGTTAATTCAGTTACCCTGTAAAAACACAGGTTAGTTGGCGTCTTTGCTTTCTACTGTTTGGTGGATATATCTTTTTGGCGTGTTAGCGAGTACAATATAAAAACCTTTATAAAACTACAAAGCTGCAATAACCTCCATTCACAACTACTGATTGTCCCTCTCCATCTGCATACTTATACTGCATAACTAACTGAAACTAAACATTGCCAAGTCTAGCCTCTCTGTTAATTGTCTTCACCCTGGTGCTAGCTTTTCTTGGAAAGTTTGGAGCTAAATGTCTACTGGCTCTTCCCTTAGGTTTTCCACGCCTCCTTGAAGCTTCTGCTTCTACTGCTGAGCCAGTTGATCCCAAATTTGGGCCGGGCTGAGGTGACCCACTGCTTGGAGCAGACCTGGCCTAACCTGCTGGCCAGGACTGGAGACTCAGCTGGCCGCCTCCGAGCCACAGCCTCTGCCTTCATACAGGTATTGTAACACATTGGACTGACGTATTTATTTGTCGCAAAAGGCACAAGTTGATTTCCATTAACCCTTTGCTTCCTGTCAGCCTGCCTTCTGCCTCCTTATCAGCTTTGTGTTGACTAAAGAGAAAGAATTTTGCAGTCTGCCTCATTTCCCCCTCCATCTTCCTTTGAGTAGAGCTTTGTGAAGCTTTTGTAGAATAATGTTGGAAAATCAGCACTCTCTTTCTTTTTTATCCATAAAACACATTGTGTTGTAAAGCATACAGCAGATATTTCGTCGAACACAGTCTTAGTGATATGCAATGTAAAATGTACTAAAGAGGCTGCTGATGTCCTCTGTGTTAATCTCATTTGTCTATGGTTATTATATCTCAATTTGAAGTGGTAGTGTCTTCTTCATAGTGAATTTCTACACATATCAACAGGGTAGACTTTGTGTCATCTAGTAACCAATACAAAGGGGTTTCAGTAACCCGCTTATCCCATTAGGCGGGCCTATATAAGACTCTACATGGCGGAACAGTTACCTAGACACCATGACAGCAAACACAAACAGATTCAAACCAATACAACTTTGCAATGATCAAACCAAAAAAAATTCCATTTTAAAAACATGTAAATACATTTAATAAAGAAAGATTACCTCAAAATAATAACATTACCACAACAGTGTGCTCATAGACTAATCATACTCTTATGAAAAATGATTCACTATAGTCTTACTGCACATATGCTATAAAGGGCAAAACCGGAACTTCCGTTCAAGAAGTAAAAAAAGAATGTCATTTGATCTTTCATCTTTTAGCTAACCACAATAAACACCACTTCCCCCAAGCCCAAGACTGACTGTTAAATGGCACCAGCTTGACAGGTTATAGCCAGTTTAGTAGCAAGCTAGTATGAATACAAAATGTATGAATGAAAGGTGGATCTGTTATGGTTATGAATTTTGAGCAGCATGAGAAAGTCATTAGACCGCAGCTAAATAGTAAAATGATGAATAAATGTCAAATCTATGGAGTGAAATTTAAACTTGGCGCTATGGGAAACTCAATTCTAACGGGAGGGAAACAGACGGGGGAACAGACTTCGAAGTGGAAAGAAGAAGGGGCAGTTGGTTGGACACTGAATAGGTGACACTTTTGACTCAAAGGTCATTGGGACCTGAAAATAGGTTTTTAATTGAATAACTTGGGCGATTCCAGATTCCACACACAAGTTGACTGGGACAACACAATGAGTAAACAGTAACTAGCACTGTACGGGCTTTCCTTCATCTCGGCCGTTCTGCCTTTCACTTCCTGCCTCATTCTGAGTTTTGAGCATCATCAGAATCGCGTGACTGCAAACAGCATATTGGAGTGTGCCTAGCTAATTGTGATCCTATGAGTGAGCTCATAGAGAGGCTTCACTTCTAAAAATGCTAAGGTGCAGTCTGAACAAGTCTGTGTAGAGTACTTGCACGGTAGGCAAGTACCAATGTCTTGAATCGGATTTGAGCAGCCATAGGTAGCCAGTGCAGGAGTGGTGTAGGGTTGGTTGAAGACCTACTGAGCGTCTTGCATTCTAGATGAGCTGCAGAGGTCAGATTGCACATGCAGGCACACCAGCCAAGAGTGAGGTGCAGTCGTCAAGGCATGAGATGACAAAGGCCCGGACCAGAACCTGCACCACCTCCTGGGTTAGGAATGGATGTATGTGATAATTGAGAGTTCGTGGATGGAAGTGGCCTTGCCAAGAAGGAAGAGCAGCTCACTCTTGCTGATGTTGAGCTTCAGGTGGTGAGCAAATGTTCACTGAGAAAAGTGACAGAGATTCGTTCTGCCACCCGGGTTTCAGACCGTGAAAAAGACTTAATTAATAGAGTGTTATTTGAATAGCTTTGGTAGAAGAAGCCACGCAAGTGAATAACAGAGCCAAGGGATTTGGTGTAAAGAGAAAAGAGGAAGGAAGGCAGAACAGAACCCTGAGGACCCCAGTATTGAGGCCGTGTTGTTGGATTGATGCAGCTGTTATCAAAATATACTACTTTACCTCTGTAATCATCCAAACCTGTGATTCGTCCAAGAAAGATGCATCACTAAAATAATGTTGCTTGTAAATTCTGAATCAGAGGTGTACTGTAGCTTGACATACAGACTGAGTTTGGAGGTGTCTGGGGTGCTCTCCCATGTTGGAGCCAAGCGGACTGCCTAGACTGCCTCCTTATACATTTACATTTATTCATTTAGCTGACGCTTTTATCCAAAGCGACTTACAATTGCTATAGATATATCAGAGGTCGCACGCCTGTGGAGCAACTAGGGTTAAGTGTCTTGCTCAGGGACACATTGGTGTCTCACAGTGGATTCGAACCTGGGTCTCTCACACATACGGGTTCAATACAGAAGAGGTGGTGTTTGTTATTTGTGCACATGGACTGTTTGGTGAAACTAGAAAGTGCTGGCTGGTGAATTGAGTGATGGATGCTTAGTGTTATTACAGTGTACTCATGCATGGGTCTGTGGGTGTGTGTTGAGTAAGAAAGGGAGGATGTCCGTGAGCTTCCGTTTCAATTGCGCAGACTATTACCATGAGTGTCGGTCCTCTGAATTCATTGCCCTGCCCTTCTGGATCTGTTCAGAGCTCCTTTAGGACAATGACTGAATGCCTCTTTGTATGTTGACAACAAATTATATAGGGATTGGTGTGTGTATGCGCGTGTGTGTCCCCCCCATATTTTCAACATACATTCCACTCCTCTGATGTGGTTAAAATTGCAACAAAAAAAACAAAACAAACCCTGAGAGGTTTTTCCAAGAGCCTTTTTCCGTCTTGCTTTAATTGTACACTTCTCTGAACTTCTCTGTCATGACATGTCTCTCCAACAGATGCTTGTGTTGACTGACAAATCACCATGTGTTGTTTCACGCTGTTAGGGGCTTACAGCACACACACGTTACTTAATTTAAAGGTGCATTCCACAATGATATTGTATGATTTTTACATGTTACATTGTCTCTTTCTCATGTCCCTCTTTTAGGAAATTGCTGTTTTGAAGGATGTACGCGGCCTGCAGGTAATCCCTGGTGAGCTGGTGAAGCCGTTCAAATCCAACTTCCCTTCTCGTCTGGCTCGGAGTCGGGCCGAGCTGCTTGAGAAGCTACTACCTGAGCTGGGTACGGAGAACTCTGGCTTCACCATGGACAATGTCATGAAGGTAAAGTACCAAAAACATGCTAACTGCAACTATCCATTCTTTTTCATTCATTAGGGCCCGAGCACGACCGTGCGAGGTCCCTATTGAAATTGCTCGGATTATTTTTTTTTTTTTTTTTTTTTTATTTTTAGGGCCCGAGCACGACCGTGCGAGGTCCCTATTGAATCTGCTCGGATTTTTTTTTTTTTTTTTTTTTTCTGCAAAGTAGGCCCAAATGACATGGCCTAAACATACTCGAAAACTCACCAAAATTTGCAAACATGTCAGAACCGGTGAAAAATTTCGTATTCTACAAGTTTCGCACATGGGCGTGGCAAAATGACTCGCTAGCGCCACCTTGAAAATTGGAAATGATTAGCCCCTCGTTCACGTTCAACCTACATGTACGAAATTTTCTGGGGACATGTATCGTATCAAGACGCACAAAAAGCCTCAAGAACCCATAGCCTAAAGTCAACAGGAAGTCGGCCATTTTGAATTTTATGGCCATTTTTGGATGATTTACACACTTCGTACTTTAACGAACTCCTCCTAGGGATTTAGTCGGATCGACGTCAAATTTCTGCTGTGCCTTCTAAAGGCATTGACGATGAAAAGTTGTGCTATTTGCGCGTTTTCGTCAATGGGCGTGTCCGTGGCGTCGATGATTCGCAATGAAACAGGAAGTTGTTGTAACTTCAGTGTACATGCTCACATCTGGACCAAACTGTACATGTAGGATGAGAGTCCCGCCCTGAACACATGTACATGCCGACATTCACCCACAGTCATAGCGCCACCTGCTGGCAACAGAAAGTGACCTTTAACGAAGCAGCCCCCGCCGCACGTTTCACCTACGTGCACGAATTTTCTGTGGTACGTGTATCTTGTCCAGATGCACAAAAAAGCCTCTTGGAGCCATAGCCTAAAATCAACAGGAAGTCGGCCATTTTGAATTTTACGTCAAATTTTGGATGATTTACACACTTCGTACTTTAACGAACTCCTCCTAGGGATTTAGTCCGACCGACCTCAAATTTGTGCTGTGCCTTCTAAAGGCATTGAAGATGAAAAGTTGTGCTATTTGCAAGTTTTCGTCAATGGGCGTGTCCGTGGCGTGGCGTCAAAGATCAGCTCTTCGCCATGACACGGAAGTTGTCGTAACTTCAGTGTACATGCTCACATCTGGACCAAACTGTACATGTAGGATGAGAGTCCCGCCCTGAACACATGTACATGCCGACATTCACCCACAGTCATAGCGCCACCTGCTGGCAACAGAAAGTGACCTTTAACGAAGCAGCCCCCGCCGCACGTTTCACCTACGTGCACGAATTTTCTGTGGTACGTGTATCTTGTCCAGACGCACAAAAAAGCCTCTTGGAGCCATAGCCTAAAATCAAGAGGAAGTCGGCCATTTTGAATTTTACGTCAAATTTTGGATGATTTACACACTTCGTACTTTAACGAACTCCTCCTAGGGATTTAGTCCGACCGACCTCAAATTTGTGCTGTGCCTTCTAAAGGCATTGAAGATGAAAAGTTGTGCTATTTGCAAGTTTTCGTCAATGGGCGTGTCCGTGGCGTGGCGTCAAAGATCAGCTCTTCGCCATGACACGGAAGTTGTCGTAACTTCAGTGTACATGCTCACATCTGGACCAAACTGTACATGTAGGATGAGAGTCCCGCCCTGAACACATGTACATGCTCACATTCACAGACAGTCATAGCGCCACCTGCTGGCAACAGGAAGTGACTTTAACGAAGCAGCCCCCGCCGCACGTTTCACCTACGTGCACGAATTTTCTGTGGTACGTGTATCTTGTCCAGACGCACAAAAAAGCCTCTTGGAGCCATAGCCTAAAATCAACAGGAAGTCGGCCATTTTGAATTTTACGTCAAATTTTGGATGATTTACACACTTCGTACTTTAACGAACTCCTCCTAGGGATTTAGTCCGACCGACCTCAAATTTGTGCTGTGCCTTCTAAAGGCATTGAAGATGAAAAGTTGTGCTATTTGCAAGTTTTCGTCAATGGGCGTGTCCGTGGCGTGGCGTCAAAGATCAGCTCTTCGCCATGACACGGAAGTTGTCGTAACTTCAGTGTACATGCTCACATCTGGACCAAACTGTACATGTAGGATGAGAGTCCCGCCCTGAACACATGTACATGCTGACATTCACAGACAGTCATAGCGCCACCTGCTGGCAACAGGAAGTGACTTTTAACGAAGCAGCCCCCGCCGCACGTTTTACCTACGTGCACGAATTTTCTGTGGTACGTGTATCTTGTCCAGACGCACAAAAAAGCCTCTTGGAGCGATGCCCTAAAACCAACAGGAAGTCGGCCATTTTGAATTTTACGTCAAATTTTGGATGATTTACACACTTCGTACTTTAACGAACTCCTCCTAGGGATTTAGTCCGACCGACTTCAAATTTGTGCTGTGCCTTCTAAAGGCATTGAAGATGAAAAGTTGTGCTATTTGCGAGTTTTCGTCAATGGGTGTGTCCGTGGCGTGGCGTCAGAGATCAAGTCTTCGCCATGACACAGGAAGTTGTTGTAACTTCAGTGTACATGCTCACATCTGAACCAAACTTTACGTGCTTGATAACTCTCCCACCCCGCTATGGAGGACCGATCCTGACACAGTCAGAAATAAATACAGAAATAAATAAATGCTCAATAAATAAATAAGCATCCAATTAAATACACAAAAAATAAAGTAAATAAATAAATGTTGGTATTAATTAAATTATACAAGGAGACATAAATGTATATATTTTAATTAGTGCCTTTACTTATTCACCTTTGTTATAATTACCTTATTTGTTTATTCAACTTTATTTATTACTAATTTTTTTAATGTATTTATTTATGTGTGTGTTTTAATATTTTTGTCTGTTTTATTCTTCCTTTGTATTTATTTACCTTATTTATTTTCACCCATGGTATTTATTTCTGCCTGTCTTAAATTTTTGTATGCATTTCTGCCTCATTATGCAAATGAGGAGGGGCTGTGTCTCAAGGGGTCATCTTCTCTGCTATTGGTGGACCAGTCAGACAGGAGAGCTCCTACTCTGCCTGCAGACATCAACGATCTTGCCCCTCACACAGTCAGATGGCTTCCTTCAGTGCGCTGAGGTGTTTAACAACTCTGAAGACAATACTACCAGCAATGTCTTCCTTCTCTTTTCACGTAGACGCACCGACAGACAGTGCTTTCAGTTTGCTGCATGCATGGACACAGAACTGCGGTATAGGGAGAAGCACACGGTCAGCTGGCTGCAGCTAAATCTGGAGTGCACTCGTATTCAATTCTGTATGGTAAATTCAGTTTTAACGGAGCAGAGCGAGCTGACAGGCAGAGTTAGAGACTTTTTCTGTCTGTTTCTCTCTTTACAAAGACGCATGTTGCAGTCAGAGTCTTCTCTGAGATGCGAGCACGACATACAACACAATTTATCAAATTACACAACGGATATACAGTATGAAAATAAGATTGATTGGATTATACTCACAGGAAGTATAAAACCTCTTACATGGGTCTATTAAAAGTAAAGTAACACAAAAATGTCAGGGAAATTACTTTACTTAGATTTAAGTACTGCAGTTGTACATTTGAAATACCTTCCTACCTTTCTGATAGGAAGCCTTCTTGAGGTGGTATAAAACATTTCTTCTTATATTCTGATTTGAGTTGTGGACAACTATGACCACATGAATTAAAAAAACATTTCACTGCCCAAGTCAGCTATAACACAAGTCTTGATCATCAGACTACATGCTGTACAGTATTTGTGGACAGATTTTGTCCCAGGATTTTTATGCATTTCTTCTTCTTCGTTGCATGATTTAGAATATAAGGTGAGAAATGGGTCTATTCTGAGTTCATCCTGCACTGCAGCAGCTAATAAAGTCCATTTAATCCCAAAACGCTTTTCTTTTAGGCAGGCTGGAGCAGAAAACAACTCACCTTTCTCAAGTTGTACAGTAATGTCACATGTGTATGAAGGTGGATCAAACAAGCTAATCTTAAATGTCAAAGTAGAGAGGAGCCTAGTAGGCCTATTTATTTTCATTCATTACACAATATGAATAAGCTATGCAGACAGTTGTAAAGAAAGAACATCTTTTTCTTCTGTTCTCTACTTGTTATAGTTACACAGTATTAGGGGTGTGGGCTGTATTAAAAGTATCCACTGTTCTCCCATGCTCTAACACACAGTAACGATGAAATGTGTGCTGTTCTCACATTCTTCCTCTGTATGTACACATAAACAACAAGGCAGGGAAATATAAAAGGAATTTATTTTATTGTTTGGGTACATTATTGTTCAGTGTACATGTTCACATCTGAAACAAACTTTACGTGCTTGATAACTCTCCCACCCCGCAGACATCTACACGTCAATACCGATTTATATTCATAGCGGCAAGTGCTATGTAGCTCCACATAGGGGACACAGGAAGTGACATATAGCACCTTCATGCGGCGTCGGAACCGCGTAGGAAATTCACAGCCGCACCGGCAGAGCTCCAGAATATGCAACTCGGCCGGCTCACGCGCGGACGCGCTTACAAGTGCGAGGGCCCGCCCACGCTGCTTGCAGCTTTATTAGGGCCCGAGCACGACCGTGTGAGGTCCCTATTGATTTGCTCGGATTATTTTTTTTTTTTTTTTTTTTTTTTTTTTCTCTGCAAAGTAGGCCAAATGACATGGCCTAAACATACTCGAAAACTCACCAAAATTTGCAAACATGTCAGAACCGGTGAAAAATTTCGTATTCTACAAGTTTCGCACATGGGCGTGCAAAATGACTCGCTAGCGCCACCTAGAAAATTGGAAAAATTAGCCCCTCGTTCACGTTCAACCTACATGTACGAAATTTTCTGGGGACATGTATCATCAAGACGCACAAAAAAGCCTCAAGAACCCATAGCCTAAAGTCAACAGGAAGTCGGCCATTTTGAATTTTACGGCCATTTTTGGATGATTTACAACTTCGTACTTTAACGAACTCCTCCTAGGGATTTAGTCGGATCGACGTCAAATTTCTGCTGTGCCTTCTAAAGGCATTGACGATGAAAAGTTGTGCTATTTGCGCGTTTTCGTCAATGGGCGTGTCCGTGGCGTCCGATGATCGTCTGAACAGGAAGTTGTTGTAACTTCAGTGTACATGCTCACATCTAACCAAACTTTACGTGGTTATAACTCTCCCACCCCTATGGAGAACCGATCCTGACACAGTCAGAAATAATACAGAAATAAATAATGCTCAATAAATAATAAGCATCCATTAAATACACAAAAATTAAGTAATAAATAAATGTAGGTAGTAATTAAATTATACAAGGGACATAAATGTATATATTTTAATTAGTGCCTTTACTTATTCACCTTTGTTATAATTACCTATTTGTTTATTCAACTTTATTTATTACTAATTTTTTAATGTATTTATTTATGTTGTGTTTTTAATATTTTTGTCTGTTTATTCTTCCTTTGTATTTATTTTACCTTATTTATTTTCACCCATGGTATTTATTTCTGCCTGTCTTTTTTAAATTTTTGTATGCATTTCTGCCTCATTATGCAAATGAGGAGGGCTGTGTCTCAAGGGGTCATCTTCTCTGCTATTGGACCAGTCAGACAGGAGAGCTCCTACTCTGCCTGCAGACATCACGATTCTGCCCCTCACACAGTCAGATGGCTTCCTTCAGTGCACTGAGGTGTTTAACAACTCTGAAGACAATACTACCAGCAATGTCTTCCTTCTCTTTTCATGTAGACGCTCCACAGACAGTGCTACAGTTTGCTGCATGCATGGACACAGAACTGCGGTATAGAGAGAAGCACACGGTCAGCTGGCTGCAGCTAAATCTGGAGTGCACTCGTATTCAATTCTGTATGGTAAATTCAGTTTTAACGGAGCAGAGCGAGCTGACAGGCAGAGTTAGAGACTTTTCTGTCCGTTTCTCTTTACAAACACATGTTCAGTCAGAGTCTTCTCTGAGATGCGAGCACGACATACAACCAATTTATCAAATTACACTCGGATATATCAGATGAAAATAAGATTGATTGATTATACTCACAGGAAGTATAACCTGTTATGTGTCTATTAAAAGCAAAGTAACACAAAAATGTCAGGGAATTACTTACTTAGATTTAAGTACTGCAGTTGTACATTTGAAATACCTTCCTACCTTTTCTGATAGGAAGCCTTTTTCAGGTGGTATAAAACATTTCTTCTTATATTCTGATTTGAGTTGTGGACAACTATGACCACATGATTAAAAAATTAAACATTTCACTGCCCAAGTCAGCTATAACACAAGTCTTGTTTCATCAGACTACATGCTGTACAGTATTTGTGGACAGATTTTGTCCCAGGATTTATTATGCATTTCTTCTTCTTCGTTGCATGATTTAGAATAATAAGGTGAGAAATGGGTCTGTTCTGAGTTCATCCTGCACTGCAGCAGCTAATAAAGTCCATTTAATCCCAAAAACGCTTTTCTTTTAGGCAGGCTGGAGCAGAAAACAACTCACCTTTCTCAAGTTGTACAGTAATGTCACATGTGTATGAAGGTGGATCAACAAGCTAATCTTAATGTCAAAGTAGAGAGGACCTAGTAGGCCTATTTATTTTCATTCATTACACAATATGAATAAGCTATGGCAACAGTTGTAAAGAAAGAACATCTTTTTCTTCTGTTCTCTACTTGTATAGTTACACAGTATTAGGGGTGTGGGCGTATTAAAGTATCCACTGTTCTCCCATGCTCTAACACACAGTAACGATGAATGTGTGCTGTTCTCACATTCTTCCTCTGTATGTACACATAAACACAAGGCAGGGAAATATAAAGGAATTTATTTTTTATTGTTTGGTACATTATTGTTCAGTGTACGCTCACATCTGAAACAACTTTACGTGCTTGATAACTCTCCCCCCCGCAGACATCTACACGCCAATACCGATTTATATTCATAGCGGCAAGTGCTATGTAGCTCCACATAGGGGACACAGGAAGTGACATATAACACCTTCATGCGGCGTCGGAACCGCGTAGGAAATTCACACCGCACCGGCAGAGCTCCAGAATGCAACTCGGCCGGCCTCACGCGCGGACGCGCTACAAGTGCGAGGGCCCGCCCAATGCCTGCTTGCAGCTTTAATTTTATTTATTTTTTT